GATTTACATATATAACGCATAAAAAGTTAATTTCAGGCCCGACACGAAGAGCGAGGGACTAATGAATTCTCAGCCTGTTTTGTTTCGAAAAAAATTGGGGGATTCATTCGGATTTTAACTTAGCTTATGATACATTGTTTAACCAGTGATTCAGATTTGATTTTTACAATGTGTTCTTGGATCTTAATGCTATTTAAGCAATGATTCAAGTTTTCACTATGAGTTTATTCTTAAAGATATGATTTTAAACATTTTGATAAAATGCATTTAACTTGTGGCATTAGCTTTGCCTTAGACCAAAGTCATGGGTCAACTTCGAAGGGCTGAAGGTTAATTTCAGATTTCTGCTTCGTATACGACCGAGGTTAACATAAAGCCCACAAGTCGCTTGTCCGGGCAGTCTTGCCATTTTTGCTATTTGGCCGAAGCATGCTTGCAAGAATCCAATTTTCAAGTTGTATTTATGAAACAAGGATCTTTGCAAACGTGTATTTTATGATATTTGCAAACGGTTTTTTTATTTCATGCAAAATTCATGATAATGGCTGAAATCACCTGCAGACGGTAGGTCAAAAAGAGTAATGGGTAAGAAGAAGCAAAGAGACGGCATAAAATGCTTCATCAGTAACTCATATTTTCTTTGCCGATAACGATAAATTGCAAATGTTGACTGAAATTCAATCCAACGTTCATAAAAAGGCGCATTCGATGCAAAAATTTAAAAAAAAGTTATCCATTTTAGCACAACGTGCATTTATACTGACATTTTAGCGTTTCGATAAGTTCGCTGCGTTTATTGAAAGAACAGAAGGAAAGTTGACAAAGCAATGAAAGGTCCAACTTGAAGGAATGAAATCAATTGGATTAGGGAAGCCCTCAATAGAAAAGGATAGGGGAATTGCCAACTGGATGAGTAGGTACATGTGAAAGCTGCGTTCATGTTCCTTTACTTCTCATGCACGTGTACATGTGAGTTGACCATGACAGTTTTGTAATTCCACAACCAATGTGGCTTTTCTGAGCATGAACCGTGTCCATTTTTGGCAGGTGTTCTTAGAAACAGTATTTACGTACCCACTACATCTTAATAGAATTTGGGGTTTGCAGTTCTGTAACTTTGCATCCAGGGCAGCAGAAATGATGAAATTTTCTGTGCATGGTGCAGAGTCGCGTTTGGGCTAGTGCACTTGAAAACACCATGCTAGTCTGTTTCAATAATTTTGTAACTCCGCAATCATACCAGCTACA